GGCGGGGGTGGAGCGGGCCGGGGGAGCTCAGGAAGAGGAGGAGGGGAGAACTGGCCCGGCAGCAGCAGCGCTGGTGGGGGGTGCAGTGGGGCTGGCCGGGGAAGATCGGGAGAAGTGGGGGAGAACCAACCAGCCGGCCAGAGGGAGGCGAGGGGGGAGGAGCATATCAGCCACTGGGGAGCGGGCAGTGCAAATCCCAGGGCACTCCCTGCACGGTCCAGGCGAAGCGCGAGTCAGTCTGGCTGCAGCTCCACCACACACTTAACCAGCGCACAGGAGCATGGACCGGGCTGCCCTTCCTCCTCACACGCAACCAGGGCTCCCAGCACCAATTGCGCCCCACCTCCCAGCCACTCCCCCTGCCAGGCTTCCAGGCGCCCAGTCGGAAAACCAGAAAATACCAGACATTGCACATGTCCAGTATTTTCTGGATTTTTTTACCGGACAGAGCCCCAAAAAAACAGACTGTCCAGTAGAAAATTGGACACCTGGCAACCCTAAAACATTATGCACGCCAGTGTAGATAGCTGTGCCTTTCTCCATCTCTACCATCCCAATGGGGTTATAGCAGTCCCAATCTCTGGCCCCTTGCTGCCCTACCCTGTGATCATTCTACAATATAACTCCCTCCTACTAGACCTCTCTCTTTCCATTTTATAAGAAAATCAAATTCCACGTATATGCCATTGTCCTGGCACAACCAAACCCTGATCCCGCTCTAAGTCTGTGGTGTCCAAGCAGTTCTGAAGCAGTAGCCACTATAACGGATACTGCCATAACAAACTAACCACACCCTGGCAGAAGGGATGCTTTCTGTAACTCAGCAGCTATCTCTCTAGTTAATTGAAAAGCAGCATTTGTAGGGTCTGATCAGGATCCAATCCAGTCTGCCTCAATAGGACAACTATGACTGTAATCCAGCAGTAGGCAAGATATGACCCGTGGGCTGGGCAGGGGCGGGAGACTTTGCACGCTCCCCCATCCGAAGCCTCCAATTGGCCTAGGAGCACAGTAATGAATGAAGTCTCCTCCCCTTGACAAGGACCTACCCCTTCTGTCCAAGGCCCCGCCCTTCTGCCTAAGATCCTGCTGCTTCTGGGACTGGCCTGCAACCACTGCCAAAATTGGTGAAGTGGCCCCCCTACAAAATTTATTGCCCACCCCTGCTGTAATCCAAGGATCAAGGGCAAGGGTAGGGCAGATCTAAATTCCCAACAATTGAAATCAGCTGAGACAAGGTGGATGAGGTAATAAGTTTACTATTGATGAGAGAGACAAGATGACCAACAGAAGTTGGTCTAACAAAAGACATTACCTAACCCACTTTGTATCTCTACTATCCTGGGACCAACACAACTACAACACTGCATACAACTACACTGCACACCATCGGAATTCAATTTAGCAGGTCTTTACTAGACCCACTAAATTGAACCCCAGAAGATTGATCTCTGGAGCTCTGATCTACTCCCACTAAATTGAACCCCAGAAGATTGATCTCTGGAGTTCTGATCTACCTCTAAGTATAGACAAGGCCTAGTAGCTTGCTCAAAGTCACACAGGAATTCCTATGGCAAAGCCAGGACTTGAACACAGATGTATTAATCTTAAGTCTATTGTCTTAATTAAAAGACCATCTTTCTTTTCATTTAACAAACATTCTAGTTTAAAAGTTATTAGTGAAGATTAATATTTTGAAATAGCCAGAATACCTCAAGAAATAATCTTCAGACTGACTCCGAGAGACTCATCTCCCCAGTTAAAACTGGTATATGCTAAGAATCAGACTTCTATTTGCATAGCCAAGAATGTCATTTAACAAGAACCTAAGTCAAAATTCACATCAGTTTCTGTACCAGTCAGACATGATAAAGTCAGAACCACTCTTTTTAGTAATCTTTGGTTCCATTACCTCTGATGGGTTTTTTTAATCACACTTACTGATTTTATATCCCAGCTTTTCAGCATGAATCCTCTTGGCCATGAACTGTCCTTCAATTAAGGCTCGTATCTCCACCTCCTTTGGAAAGTCTGGAACCTGTATCAGAGGAATACATTCAATTAACATGCACCTTATATAGTATACAACACAAGGCTGGAGTCTGGTTTAAAAAACCTCCACAGATTTATAGTTTCATTGTCCTTGTCTTCACCTTGAAGCCTACAGTCACAACTCTGCCCCTACTCGTCAGTTACATACACACAGGACTTCTAGAAGCTCATGACAGACAGAATATAGCCCATAACCTTGGCACTGTTGGTAAATCTTTCAATCTTCAAATCAGTGCATGATAGGGTGTGTTTCTAATGCCAGTTGTAAATTCTTCTGCATTCACTCCTCCACGCCAACAGCTGCTTATAACATTCTCCTCAAGTACATTATCTTCTCTGGGGTACATTAGAAAAAAATTAAATATACTAAGTAATGTCATACGCAGAAAAGTTTAAATTTGTCCTATGTCTTAAAAAAAAAAGGAAACAAAAACTAATCCTTTTCACTGATTCATTCACTGTAGTAAAGAGAGATTTCTCCCTTGTAAAAAACAGTTGCTTATCTTACAGTAACCATTGTACGAGATGTTCTGTGCACGTAGATCTCACTCATGGTGCACATGTGCCCTCTGCATAGGAGTTTGGCCATTTTGTCAGCTCTGTCCACTGTGGATCACATATGCCTTTTTCACACCCTTAGAATCCCTCCCTGGGGCATAAACAATAGAGCCTATAAGTTAGTTCTTTCACCACCCAGAGTACAGATTAAGAGTCTCTGGGTGGCAGGGACGGGGGAGAATAGGGAGTCATGGGATCCACATGCAGAGAACACCTCAAAAATAACATTTACTATAAGGTAAGTGTGGAGGGGTGTCTGCCCCACACTGGCAGAAGGGATAAAGCCACTCTGGGGAGGCCATTCAGGAGGCAGCCAATTAGGAAAGGGCGGATAGAAACAGAGAATAAGAAGGTTTAGAGAGACAGCAATCAGGGCCAGGATGGGCCATATAGGAAGGGCTGCTGAACAGAGAGCTTCAGTCACTCCCTGGGGTTTGAGGAGGGAGAACTGGTTGCCCTGAAGGAGGGAAAGATGACAACCACATAGAGCAGTGCTGGACAAGGGCAGGGAGAAAGAGTGAGCTCCCAGCTAACTGCTGCCAGGCTGAAGCCTGCTATAAGGGCTATGAGGAAGTGGCCCAAAAAAATAGAAAATGGTGACTGAAGATGGCACAGAGCATGGCTGCTGACTAGAGGATCCGTGGATTGGGACCTAGAGTAAGTCCATTGATGTGGGTGGTTAGACCCTGGACTGCAGCCTGCCACTGAGGCAAGTGGCTGGACAGAGGACTGCCAGTACCACAGAATAGGGAGAGAACCAAGTGGGGCACAGCCAGAGAGCCGTGTTCAGAAGCGGACTTCACAGTCCTGAGAGTGACATGGGTCCTGAAGTAATGGTATTAAGATGTCACTAGATGAAGGCGTATCAGTGAACCAGAGCCAATTCCCAGGATGGCCAGCAGGAGGCACTGTAGTGGTGAATTACACCCAGTTACAGCTAATATTTACAATTTCTGTCTTAAAGTCTTTGTATGTAAGGATCTGGATCATGGTGTATAGCCCACAGTTCGGTTCCAGGTGGTGGGAGCCAGGAACTCATCTGAATAAAAACTGGAGAACTGCTTTCCTGACTTGTGCATCAGCTTCTGATGTTGCTAGCAGAGAATGACGACTGGTAAATGAATGCATTGAGGACAATGTCACTGATCTATAGAGTTCCACAATTCATTTTTTACTGAAACATGCCACCAATACAGCCTAGGCTCTCGTACAGCGAGCAGTAACATGAACTCAAAATAGAAATGTATTAATATTATACAATATTTGAAACAGGAAACAATCCATTTCAACAACCTTTGAGCAGAGATTGGGTTGGTTTGCCAAGTAAGTGGCCTATTGGCTCGATGCAGTTCCCCTTATTTAGCTCCTGGCAGGTCACCAGATTCTTTATTTACCTGAGAGTCTGCAGGTACAGCTGCTCGCAGCTCCCATTGGCTTGGAATGGTGAACCATGGCCAACTGTAGTTGTGAGTGGTCGTGCCTGCAGACACTCAGGTATATAACGACTTTGGTGGTCCACCAGGGCCTAACCCTGGAGAAGCACATCAGACCAACCGGTCACTTATTGCCCACCTATTCTCTAGATGTATTGCCACATGTGATAAATAGTTTCAGAGATCTTCTGAATGGTCCTACAATATAACGGCCTCCTCTTAAAGTCCAATGTATGAAGTTTAGATTCACTAGAAGATGAATCTCAAGAGGGGGAGCCATGTTAGTTTGTAACTTTAAAAACGAGTAGTAGTACTGTGGCGTCTTAGAGACTAACAAAAATAGTGACATCACGGAAAAAATACAAGTTAAGTGAAAAGTTAGATCAGCATAGCTACAGCACTCAGGATTGTGAAAATCCACACCCCGAGTGCTATAGCTATACTGATCTAACTCTCAAGTTAGACGTAGCTAGCTCAAAAGCAGATAGTTTCTCTCACCCTAGCAAACTTTGTTCAGGGAGGTGGAGTTTTACAGTGAAAGAAAAACCTGTCCCATTGCCATTGGCTGTGTCTGCACTACAAGGATATGCAGAAATAGTTACAGCACCATAGCTGTTCTGCAACAGTTCCCATATAGCAGATGTTGCCTCCAACAAGTGATTTCTTTGTGCCCCCAGAAAATGGATGCCTGTGTACAAAAAACAAACCTTTAATCTCAGCTATGACATCCCAAGTCCCCTAACACAGGAGCACAATAAATAGATGTTGTCCTGTTTATAATGAGCTAGCTGGGTTCAAAGTCAGTACTGTAGATACCTTCAAGCATGGGACTCAGGCCAGAAAATTCCTTCAGAAAATCACTCTTAGGACCACATCAGTATGTGAAATCTAGAAGCAAGTATCACAGATGCAAAAGAGGACAAAGTTCTCAGCCCAGATAGGATGAACCTCCTTTAAATCATGAATATAACGTGATTCACTACAATATGGTAAATATATTATTACTACCTTGTTGTTGTCCCTGTTGAATCTGTGAATTCCAACAGCTTCAGGAGTAATTTCTATCACATCAAAATAGAAACCTTAAACCAAAGCAAATTAAAGAATGTCATGTTTTCTTCTAATCAAAAAAAACCTATCCATTTCAGAAAATGGCTAGAAAAATAACAAATATGTATAATGCCCATAAGAGTACAAAACTGTAACAGAGTGGAGCAAGAAAAAGTTTGATTTACTAAACTATAAATTTCAAATTTTGTACAGCATCTTCCAGACACAAAATAAAATCACAGAATGTTTCCTGACCAATTCTAGGCCACACGTTTATTGAATGAATTGTATTTCCTTTGATTTATTAAAACGTGTTTTTAAAAGCATCTCTGACGCCAGGCAGGCACCTTTAATACTTAAATATAAATACAAGCCATGTAATAAAAAAGACAAATTCAGCAACTCAGCCATGCTATGTAAAAGAAATTACCAATCAAATACCTATGTACACAAATAGTGTATATGGGTTACTAGAAAATAACTGGGTACTTAACTTAAATGAGTTTTGTTTTTCTTCATTTAAATTATCGTTCTGCGGTGGGGCTGGGAACAAGGGGTTACGTATGTAGGCTGCCCCTGGGAGAGAGGAAAACCCCAGCACTCTCTCATGTGAGAAACACCTGTCCATGGCTGCTGCACTATAAAAATTTCTGAAAGTTTTCCATTTTGGACTTTCCAAATTTTATTGTATTTTACTGTTTGTTCATCTTTATATTTTCATTATTTTTACACTGTTTCATGACTACTACTGTCATAAAATAATAGTTTAATTATTCTATGTTTTTATTTTTAAATGATTATAGGCAACTGTAACTTAGTGCTAACTGAAATCTCTTATCTGGTCTTGAACAAAGGGTCCCCTGTTTGCGTGATGATGAAACAATTTGACACTAAATACAAAGTACACACAGAATACTAAGTGTTAACTTATTCTCTAGATCATAGCATGTCCTGTGTGTGTGGTAATGAAACAGTACTATCCCGTTTTCAGTTGCCAAGATGGTTTCCAGAATAAGGGGCTGTATTAAGTGGCCAATCAAGAGGAAGGCTAAAATTAAAATTAGTCTTCCAACGATGAAACAATTTGACACTAAATACAAAGTACACACAGAATACTAAGTGTTAACTTATTCTCTAGATCATAGCATGTCCTGTGTGTGTGGTAATGAAACAGTACTATCCCGTTTTCAGTTGCCAAGATGGTTTCCAGAATAAGGGGCTGTATTAAGTGGCCAATCAAGAGGAAGGCTAAAATTAAAATTAGTCTTCCAACTAAACAGAATATTTTTGGGTATGTTTTGGTACTCTCTCTTCCCCCCCCTCCTCCCCCCCC